TGTGGCAAGGCAGGCCATTTGTCAAGAAGTTGTCCAGCCAATAGAAGATGCTTTAATTGTAATTCCCCATATCATATTCGACCCAACTGTCCGTTGTTGAGAACTCCGTAGTTAACTATGGGGAGTAATGTATCGGGTACTCGAGGAAGACCCAACATATCCAGAGGAGCGCAAGGAGGGGCATGAGGTCGGTCCTTCCAGATGACAAAGAACGAGGCAGAGGCTGCACCTGATGTAGTAACAGGTACCTTCCTTCTGAATTATATACGTGCTAAGGTGTTATTTGATTTTGGTGCAAACTTTTCATTCATATCACCATCGTTTGCTCAAATTGCATGTTTGAATTTTGTGTTACTTGATGACGAATTAGTAGTTGATACTGCTGATAGTCAAGAATCTGTTACTAGTGTATTCAATAACTGTGTTATTGTTATTGAGGAGTGTGAGCTACCAATTCGGCTATTCCCAATGTCGATAAAAGAGTTTGATGCTGTAGTGGGTATGGATTGGTTGGCAGAACATCAGGCTAGTAGTGTCTGTAATAAGAAGATGATCAGAATCATTTTCCAGACAGAGGGACAGTTATTATCTACGGTGATCGTCAGAATCATCATACTAGCCTTTTGACTGTGTTGAAAGCCCAAAAGTGTATCTGGAAGAAGTGTCAGGGATGTTTGGCAAATGTTATTGATGCAAAGAAAGAGAAAGAAAAGCATGAATTGATTCCAATTTTTTAATGAATACCCAGAAGTGTTTCCAGAAGATTTGTGTGGTTTACCACCGGATAGAGTTATCGAGTTTAGAATTGATCTCCTACCTGGGGCAGCACCAGTAGCCAAGGCGTCGTACCGATTGGCTCCATCAGAATTGAAAGAACTAGTTACTCAGTTGAAGGATCTGCATGATAAATGATTCATTCGACCTAGCACTTCAACCTGGAGTGCTCCAGTCCTATTTGTTAAGAAGAAATACGGATCTATGCGGATGTGTATAGATTATCGAGAATTGAACAAGTTGACAATCAAGAATAAATATCCTTTGCCAAGGATTGACGACTTGTTTGATTATTGGTGGGGGCAAGTTATTTCTCCAAGATCGACTTAAGATCAGGGTCTCATCAGCTTAAGGTCAGGGAGGAAGACATCGCCACAACAGCTTTTCGAACTAGGTACGGGCATCATGAATTCTTAGTTATGCCGTTCGGTCTAACTAATGCGCCTGTAGCCTTTATGGAATTAATGAATAGGGTATGTAAGGAGTATCTTGATAAATTCGTTATTGTATTTATCGACGATATTCTTATATACTCTAAAACCGAAGAGGAGCACGCAGAACATCTTCGTCTGATACTAGAACTTCTGAAAAGAGAAAAGTTGTATGCGAAATTGTCCAAATGTGAATTTTGGCTAAGAGAAGGACAATTCTTGGGTCATGTCATATCAGAAGCAGGGATGAAGGTAGATCCAACAAAGATAGAAGCAGTTGAAAAGTGGGAGGCCCCAAAGACTCCTAAAATCCGAAGCTTTTTGGGATTGACAGGCTATTACCGTAAATTTATTCAAGACTTTTCTAAAATAGTCGTGCCATTGACCAAACTGACTCGGAAGAATGTTAAGTTTCAGTGGGAGGAGGAACAGCAAGAAGCCTTCCAACTGTTGAAAGATCATCTCTGCAGTGCCCCGGTGTTAATCTTACCAGATGGATCAGAAGATTTTGTAGTATACAGCGATGCCTCAAAACTAGGATTGGGACGTGTTCTGAAGCAAAGAGGAAAGGCGATTTCTTATGCATCAAGACAACTGAAGGATCATGAGAAGCAGTATCCAACTCATGATATAGAATTGGCAGTAGTGGTGTTTGCTTTGAAAATATGGAGGCATTATCTTCTGGGAACAAAGTACCAGATTTATATTGATCATAAAAGTATACTACATCTACTCAGCCAGAAAAAACTGAATATGCGGCAGCGTCGATGGATTGAACTTGTTAATGATTATGATTGTGAAATCCTCTACCACCCAGAAAAAGCCAATGTGGTAGCTGACGCTTTAAGTAGAAAAGAGAAAAGTGGAACTATTAAGACCATGGTAATGAGAATAAATTTAGCCCCTGACATTCATAAATAAATTCTGAGATGTCAGAAAGAAGCTATGAAAAAGAATCTTGTCAAGTCAGAAAGATTGGGTAAGATGATCTCGACTCTGAAACTGAATGATGAAGGAATTATGTGCTTTCAAGGGCGAATTTGGGTACTATGTTTTGGTGATGTCCGTAAAACTATTCTGAATGAAAGTCATAAGTCTCGTTACTCAATATATCCAAGTACCAATAAGATGTATAAGGATCTAAAACCTTTTTATTGGTGGCCCGGATGGAAGAAAGATATTGCCAGGTATGTGGAACAATGTATAACGTGTCTACAGGTTAAGATCGAGCATCAGAAGCCTATGGAAATCTTCAATCTTTGGAGATTCCTATATGGAAGTGGGATCACATTATAATGGATTTTGTCATGAAGTTACCTCGAACTCCAAAGGGGTATGATGCAGTCTGGGTAATTGTTGTTAGCTTATCTAAATCTGCGCATTTTCTACCTATAAGAGAGGGATACTCTTTAGAAAAGTTGGCACAGATTTATATCAAAGAGATTGTAACCAGGCACGGTGTTCCACTATCAATTGTCTCTGATAGAGATAGTTGCTTCACCTCAAGGTTTTGGGAAAGTTTGCAAAAAGCATTAGGGTTTGAAATTCGGTTAAGTATAGCCTATCATCCGTCAACTGACGGACAAAGTGAAAGAATGTTAGTACTGAAATTCAGTGTAAAATTGTATTCGTCTTGAAAGTTAAAATTGTATATAATTGTATAAAAGTCATCGTGTTTGACTTTTCATAGATAGTTTGACTTTGACTTTCTTTACATGTTTGACCCTATATAAAGGGCGAGACTTTGTATTTTGAGGAGGGATTCTTTCATTGTTAAATCTGATTACGTAAAGAAGGTTTGATCATATTTTGAATATTGACTTTCTCTCTCAACTCTCATGAATGTTCTTACAAGAAATATCAAGATCTGCCATTAATCCATTGAAGCTTTAATGAAGNACTTTCTCTCTCAACTCTCATGAATGTTCTTACAAGAAATATCAAGATCTGCCATTAATCCATTGAAGCTTTAATGAAGATTGATTAAAGTGGGATCTACAATTGATATCAGAGCAGACTGTGCAAGAAATCAACGGAAGAAATCTTCAAATATGAAGAATTTTTCAAATTTTTTTTCTGTGTTCTTATTTTTGGTCTTAGTGTTCTTAAATTTTTCTAGATTTTGATCCGATTTTTTTTTAAAAATTTTGTGTTTTCGTGTTAAAACAATGATCAATCTGCTCGGAATTGAATTGTGAATCTTTGTTAAACACAAAGTTTTGTAATTTGATCATTGCTTTTCAATATTTAATCGTTTTAATGTTTTTAAAAGTTTTTCGTGTTCTTGAATTTTTTGTGAAATTTCAGTGTTTTGATCTATTTTTTTTAATAATTTTGTTGTTTTTTATGGTTTGAATTTTTTTACTTCTGCTAAATCGCACAGAGCCCATAACCGATTTAGGCCCAGTTTTTTTACAGCCCATCTTGACTGTCTTCATCTCAACCTCAATTCAGATAGGGTTAAATGCATGAAATAGCAACCTACTTTCACAAAATTTCTTATTATAGCATTCTACTTTTGTTTTTCTTTATTACAGCAATATACTTTCAAATTATTTTTTATTAAGGCATTGTACTTTAAAAAATCTACCCATAATAGCAATGGGTAACCTGTTACCTTTTAAACCGGTTAACCCTTTGACTTTTTTGCTTGTGTGGCTTTAATGAGGTGATGTGTATGACAYATCATTTTGATGACTTAACTAAAATTAAAATAAAAACATATTTCAAATTATTATTAGTAATTTTCATTTTTCATTGCTATTATCTAAAAAAACATTTAATTTTTTTTATTTTTTCTTATTAGGTTGCATTTAAATTAAATATTCTTAGAGTAAAATATTTATTAAATAAATATGCAACATTATTTTCGAGATATATTTTATTTGTAAAAAAGACAACTTTTCCTATTTTATGTTGTTCAAATAAATACATATCTTTTAAAGTTCTCTTTAAAATATTAACGAAATAAATTGTTATCTACAATTTTTTAATATTGTTATATTGATAAATAATTCAAAAAAATCTAATTAATTTAATATATTTATATGTCAACTAAATTTTTTTTAAACAAATATAATATATTCGTCAAGTAAAGATAATATTTTTTGGTAAAAAAAAGAATAATTCTTATTTTTCTTTTTTCAAAAAACACATATTTTTTTAAAAATATTAGCGAGATAAGTTGTGTTCTACTAGTTTTATTGATATTGGTATATTAATGAATAATTTATAATTTTTTTAATTCATTTAATACATTTATTAAAAAACATGTAAAATATCTAAATATTAAAATTAAAAATACAGTGTCTAATAAAAAATAGTAGATGCTATAATAAAATAATTTTGAAAGTACAATGATGTAGTAAGAAAGTCACATCACTATAGTACATGTGGACAGCCTACGTGGACAATGAGATGGCATGGAAACCTAGTATAATGGGTAAATTTAAATCAAAAGGTTACTCAATGCTATAATGGGTAAATTTTTCAAAGTACAATGTCCTAATAAAAAATAATTTGAAAGTACATTGCTGTAATAAGAAAAATTGAAAGTACAATACTATAATAAATAAATTTATGAAAGTAGATTGCTATTTTATGCATTTTACCATTCAGATACTGTCTAAATCGCACAGGTCATCCATCTATGTGTTCTTGATTGTGACCGATTTAGGCTATAAATCGATTAAGGTGTAGCCGATTTAGCTGGCAAATCGCACGAGTAGTGATCGGAGACAGGTAAATCGCTCAGGCTAAATCGCTGGTTTATTCCTTGATTTGGTAAGCGGATTTCATTGAATCGCTTACTCACTTTCCACGGATTCTAATTGAGCACAGAATTCGATCGTATTGCCTTAAATCGCTTAATGAGGTGATATCTAAGACAAGGTTTAGGCAGATTTCACATAAATCGCTTGGGTTGTGATCGATTTAGGTAAATCGCTTAGGTTATGAATGTTTGTAAATCGCTCAAGGACTCGATAGTTTTAGCCGGATTCCTAAATCGCTCACAGTGACCGGATTTCGATAAAAACCTAAATTGCAGTTTTATGTTCTTTGAAGAATTCTTGCTAGCGATAATAAGGAGCTGAGTTCTTCATCCTTAAATGCAGTCGATGTAAATATCTCTCTGGTTGACAATCTTTTGGGTTGTTTACTTAGTTGTGAACCAGGTCTGTCGTGTATTCAAAGCAAAGGAGGAATCAAGGAATCAAGAAAGTGAAGGAGATGTTAATCCAATTTCAGTGGAGCAATCTATTAAACCTCCAAGTGCACGCTTAACAGAAGCTGAAGATTTGGAGAACTATATTGCCATTAAAGAAGAGCTATATAAGACAGCCAAAGATTTTGATGCTAAGATCATCGATTTTGAAACAGCCATCAGGAGGCCCTACTATCATTTTCGACCATTTAATGTTGCAGAGCTTGAAAACTGGCATAACTACATTGATTTCATTGAATTTTGACTGTATTACTGGCTACCTTGTTCGATTCTCCTTTCACTAAGATTAAAGGTGCTGGTAACAGATGTTGTGGTAGGCTTAGTTGCCCATTTTGCTGTGTGGAGGATCTACAATTGGCTTGTGTTTGAACTTCATTAAATCGCCTGGAATTCGCTCAAGGCAGTCAACTTCAACGCTTGGCATTTCTCACAGGTTTTGTATTGCTTACACTCGACAGGTTTTCTGCTTAATCGCTTGATAACAGATTTGCATAAATCGCAGAATTGGTACTGTCTGATTATTCATAACTACTGGTGGGGAAGGTTCAACAGCTCAAGGGTTAATTGACTTCTCTAAACCTTTGTTTGTTTGAGTTCATAACTTCTATTCACCATTCACCATCTGATTGATTTTGATTGCTTGCTATGCTTTGAGATGTTAATGGTGCAGAAGACTCCGTCAAGTGTGTGATCATGTTGTGCCACCTACTATTCCTGACTATGCTGGTGGTATATTCGTTGAAGGCTTTGTCTATCATCTTCATTTTTGGAAACATCTGTGAGCAGACTGTTGTATATCAGACTTGTCCGATTTAAGTTTTAGGTATCACACGGTCCATCTCAGTTTCTGTTTTAGGTATCACACAGTCCATCTCAGTTTCTGTTTTAGGTATCACACACAATCCTGATTCGTCTTCTTTCTTGTCCAGATTCTGTGTAAATTGGTGTTGTCAAGATGGATTTTTACAAGGAACAGAAGCTCTTGCACAACCAATGAGTGAAGTACTGGATTTCTTTTCATTGACTGTCGATGGAATTGGTGCAAGTTGTTCGAGAAGCCTAAAACTATAACAGCTGTTGATTTTGTCAATAAGCATTGTGTTGTTTGTCAACAGATTATTGATTTTGTGGACAGTTTTTGTTTGTTTTTGTAAATTCTTATATTTGTGCTGTGTAATTTTGGATCTGTTTGTTTTGTTTTGTGTTTAAACTATTTGAGAATGCTTAGACTATTTTACGTCGCATAAACTGTTTCTTATCAGTTTTAACTGTTTTTTACTGTCTTTAACAATTTTTAACTGTTTTTACTGATTTTAGACAGTTTTTCGTCGTTTTTCTAATTTCTCATCAGTTTTTTGTTTTTTTTTCTGTTTGTGTTTTTGAGCTTAATTGTTTCTGATTTCTTTTTACTGATTTCATATCATTTGATTTTTAATCAATCTTGATTTTGAAAATGGCAGTTTTATTTGAGAGAGAGGATAAAGAATTGAGAGAGAGAATTGTTGAATTGGAAAAGAGAGTAGAATACTATAAAGAAAAATATTTTAATATGTTCGATAAAAGTTTTGCTGATAAAGAATTTATTAAGGAGCTACAAAGTGAAAATAAAACCTTGAGAGAAAATTTTGAAAAGGTTTTATCAGTTAAGGCTAGTGAGTTTGAGAGAACTTTGGACAAAGTAAGGACAAAATGTGAAGAAGAATTGAAGACTTGGGTTGATGCTAATATGAAATTATTCAACAAACTTCAAGATATGCAAAATATGAGGAATTCTTCTGAGAAAGTTAATCCAGAGATAGAGGACTTAACTGGAAAACTTAATAAATCTGAGAGTGATTTATGTGAGTTAAGGAATGAATTTGAAAAGGAGAAGAAAAGAATTTCTGAAATAGAGAAAAAGTTTGATGCTAAACGCTTATCTTATGAGAATAAGATAAACTCTCTCGAGCTGAATGCAAAAATGTTATCATCTTGGAACGTGCCAAGAATGATAAAGAGAAGAAAGACATCACAGAAGAGTGTCAGAGCCAAACACATAAATTATCTGACAGCATTGCTCTAAAGCAGAAGGCTTTAGATGAAGAGAAGAAGCAATTTGCTATTGAGAAGAGAAATACTATAAAGAAACATACAACTATTGCTAAAGAGCTTGCTGAAAAGAAAAAGTGGCTTGACATCACTTCTAAGAATGAGAAAAGCAGCTCAGATGAAGAGATAAGAGAGTTCATAAATCAGAAGAAGAAGTTTGAAATGCTCAAGAAGAAGTTAGAAGGTAAACTCCTGGATACTACAAGAAAATTGTCTGATCTGAAGACAGATCTTGAAACTGAGTTGAAGATGAGAATAGAACTTAAAAATAAGTTTGATTTAGTTACTGTCGAAAGACACCCAACTTTTACAGAAAGTCAAAGATTTTTCTTGTGCTCAAAGCTCAATTGGTTCTCCTTCTCAGTGTAAAACCAACTTCTATGACTGTTCCAAATCGAACAGTTATTCAAGCCGTCCTAAATCAACTATTTCTAAGAACTATTCTAGTTCTTCTAATCAGTATTATCAAGGGTGTGTCATTAGATCACCCAATTATTCTTCTAAGGTCAAAAGCATTTGGGTCAGTAAATCTGAATCTCTTTCATCATGTACTCATGTTGTTACTAATCATTTTCCTTGTTTTGTAAGATCTACTACTGATTTGATTCATCTTAGCAAGAGAAGAATCATGTGCTCCACATGCAAATCAACAGATTTTGTAAACAAGAAGACATCCAACAGATGGAGTACAGACAACAGATATCAGAAGAATTGGAAAGGTAAGAACATGTATGATTACAATAACTGGTATGAATCATATTTTGTATCTGATCATCCTATTCAAAGTGCTAAAAAGAAAATATCTAATAGAAATAGATGGTTTGGAAGTTACAACATACCTTAGCCCGATACTAACAAAATAGGACCCAAGTTTATTTGGGTACCAAAATCTGTTTAATTTGATTTTGCAGGTGTGTCAATTTTGTGTTGATCAAAATATCATATCAGTGATGCACTAATTCATGGGGAGTTGTAAACTATCCAAATATGAGGCTTCTGAATACATCAGTTTAGAACCCGTGCTTTAACGAGTGTGGTTTCTAAACACACAGTTTAGGACCCATGCTAAACATGTTTTCTTGTTTTTTTTTTTAATTTTTGAGCTGAATTGAAACATTTTTATAATCTACTTTCTAGGGGGAGTCTCTAGAAGTTCAATAAATGTTTTCGGGAAGTAATTTGTTTTAAAACGAGTATATTTTCTGAACAAGTATTTCTTGAGATTTTACTTGCATAATTTCTCATCGTACATAACTCCAATACCTGTTTCAGCTATTCGGTGACAATACACTCGTTTGTAATCGAAGGTTGTTTTCTGATTTTTTTATCATGATTTATATATACTTCATTTTTTTTAATCAGAATCTTTAAACTCGTACTTATAGATCTTCATTCATTTCTCTCGCATACCGAATAATCTGATCGTTGTCGCATCATTCCTTTATTGATTGTGATTAAAAGTCAAATTTCTTGATCAATTTTTATCTGATCATTGTGTTTTATCTGAAATATTAATTTTGATCAACTATTGTGATCATATGAGCATATTATATTTAGGAGGGACTGAGTGCTTATCAGAAATACCTCTATGGAATGTCAGAACCGACAGACCTACCCAAGAGGACAACCATATCTGAGTGAGCTTAAACTCAAAAAGGGTTTGTGTGCAGAGCTTAAAATGAAAAAGAGAGGACTAGTTGTTGTGAGCTAAAAGAATTGATGAAAGTTGTGTCAGGATTAAAAGAATACGAGAATCCTGTTCCAAAATTCTAAAATCCAGGCATACCACACAATCTATTAGTTCTCAATTCTTTCAAGACTAATATTGAAAAAGGCAAAGCCCAAGCCAATTCTTGTCACRACCCCACCAGCTACTCATTTATCTCTCAACAGATAAGTGTTTCAATAACACTTGGGCGCACAGCTCATCATCTATCAATTTCTCATTCGGAGAAAGTTGATATTGAATTAGAAGAATATAAGTCCCCCCTTCAAGTCTTTTTGATGACTAATTGAGTCTGATAAATTTGTGTAGTCCACACGGTTTATCTTTTTGAGCCTAAACAGAAGAATTAGTTGCTTTATCTTTTTACACTACACAGATTTTGCATTTTATATGTAATTTTGCCAAAGCATTCATAGATATGTTATTATTGAGCTATCGATGATTGAATGGAAGACCTGGTGGGATGAGCATAAAAAAAGTCTCATATATACAGTACATCCGTTGTACTGAGTATATATGTTATACTCACATGCCAATCTTTTTATAAGATTGAAAACAATTTCATTCGTTGAAATTGGTTGTTATCTTCCCATTCCCTTAATCTGAAAAGATTAAACAAGTGGATTTGAAAAGATCTACTTACAATTTCATGAATTGACGGCTTTCCTAGTAAATTTCATTCATTCTTGTGTATGATGTAATGATTCTCATTTCATAAGGGGAAGTATGTAATAATGAATAAAATGTCCAATTCCGAACATTATAAGGGAATTTGTTGTAAAAATCAAGGGGGAGTAACTTCAATGATGGCAAAAGACTCAAAAGGAGTGCGACTGGAGATTATTACAAAAGATTATTCCKATGCTACAATGTCTGAGAGTTGTTGAATGTGAAGATCAATTTTACAACAGTTTGCTGATAAAGATTGCCTTTGAAGAGAAAGTGTGTTAAAGATCAATTCTGAAGATTGTTATTGTTTTTGTTCTACATTGTCAAAAAGAGAAGATCTTCGCAGTTCTACATTCGAGGGGGAGAGTGTTAGAAGATCTTTCTCAAATAATGATCATCTGAAGTTTCAAGTTGGAGATTGTTTTGAAGAAGACATAGTATGCTTAAAGCAACAAAGTTCAAACGAGACTCAAAGCGCGCAAATTCTTTCAAGTCTGAATACAAAGGGGGAGATTGTTAGGACTGAAATTTAGTGTAAAATTGTATTCGTCTTGAAAGTTAAAATTGTCTATAATTGTATAAAAGTCATCGTGTTTGACTTTTCATAAATAGTTTGACTTTGACTTTGTTTACATGTTTGACCCTATATAAAGGGTGAGTCTTTGTATTTTGAGGAGGGATTCTTTCATCGTTAAATCTGATTATGTAAAGAAGGTTTGACCATATTTTGAATATTGACTTTCTCTCTCAACTCTCATGAATGTTCTTACAAGAAATATCAAGATCTGCCATTAATCCATTGAAGCTTTAATGAAGATTGATTAAAGTGGGACCTACAAAGAACCATCCAGACTCTCGAAGACATGTTAAGAACTTGTGTCATTGACTTCGGGGGATTGTGGGAAGATAATTTTTCGTTGATAGAGTTTGCTTATAATAACAGTTACCATTCTAGCATCCTAGCGGCACCGTATGAAGTATTGTATGGACGTAAATGTCGAACGCCGTTATGATGGAACGAGGTAGGTGAAAGGCAGTTGACGAGTCCCGAGATTGTTCAAGAAATATCCGAAAAGATTGAGAAGATCCATGAAAGAATCAAAACAGCCCAAGACTGCCATAAAAGTTATGATGATAATTGTCGAAAGCCGATTGAGTTTTGTGTTGGTGATCTTATGATGTTGAAAGTTTCTCCATGAAAAGGTGTTATCAGATTTGGAAAGAAAGGTAAGCACAGTCCGAGGTATGTTGGGCCGTTCAGAATTTGTAAACGAATTGGGCCAGTGGCTTATTAGTTAGAGCTATCAGAAGAGCTTACTCTG